GATACCTGTATAAGTGGGATAAAAAGACTAGTAAAATTTTACTGAAATGGTTGTAGCTACTCATGCCTACAGGCAGTAAATCAAGCATAAGTATCACAAGAGAAAAGGCATCAGGCTCATATGTAAGAATGTCTGCTTTCAGTATGAAAATTCTTGATGATCTAAGCTTGAAGTTTCAAAAAATAATTGAGATTTGTTCAGCCCTACATTTCCTCCTAAAATAACTGTATACAATTGACTCGTCAAAGCAAAATGCTGCATTTGAAGCTAAACTTAAGAAATGCATCTGAATTACTGACCTTCTACTAGTTCAAAATACTTATCTCATGGGGAGCACCAAGCACTATTTATTAGACTTACTGCTTTCATTCAGACCCTACTCAGTGGTCAATAGAGTGCAGTCCTGCAAGTTTACAATGCTTCCAAGAGCCAGCTGAAGGAAAATATCTTTTCACTGTTTTTTATTTTTTATGTTTTAATCTCTGAAAAATTCAATTCATTTAGGGTTGAACATAATTTGACTTAGGGATTTATAAGAAATTCAAAGAAGTTCATGAAGTTCATAAAAAGCAAATGCAAACTTGAACTTCTAGAACAGAAAAAACACAGGTCCCAACAGCTGGGGACTGGCAGCTGGAAGAAGCTTTGCAGAGAAGGAATCAGGGGCTCTGATAAACAGCAAGAGGACCAAGAGCCAGCAGTGCACATCTGTGCCAAAGATAGGCAGCAGCCTCCTGGGATGCATCAGTCTGCATCTTCATGGAACTGATTCTTCAGCTTCTGTTCTGGACTTAGCTCTTCAGTTTCTCTAAATCAGGATAGTACCATTTGATTACAAAGACATGATTACAGCAAAAGCAGACTATATAGGCTTTTTTTCTCCCTCCTCTTTTCACTGCTGAAGACTTTCACACACCAGTTACTCATGTGAAGGCTCTGACATTTCCATGAGCTAATCAGAATATGCATAAGGAGACTCAGAGGATTTTCTTTCCTTTACAAATATTTAAGTGACACAGTCAATTGGGCTGTTTTATTCTAGGAAACAGAAAAGAGTACCTGAAAAAGTAGTCAATTTCTCATACTCTGAAATTATATTTGTTTTCTGTTTAAAAATAATCAGGAGGAATTCTTGCTGTTGTAGGGTGAAGTCAGATGTTAATTATTTACATTTTCTCCTTTATCTAGCTGTTCTTTGTGCATAATTAAAAATTTCTTCCCATTCAACAAGAAGTCCTCATTCCAACTAAGTTTCAGTCTCCTAGAAGGAAAGGTTTTTTTTGTTATTGTTGGGTTTTAGTCATCCCCTGCTGATATCCTGTCGTTCAGTCAAGAGAGAATGAACTTGCAAAAGGCTTTCAGCAGTGGGAAAGCAACTGAAGCTTTGCTGTAAAATCATGCATACAATGTACTGGAATATACTCAGTTTACAGAGCTGGAATATAAAATCATAGTAACAGACCACTAATCAGTTTGACACACTAAGTCCAATATTGATTTGAAACAATTTTACGTAGTTCTTGTGCACAGGCCTAAGTGGGAAGTGGATGTAATAAAGAGGCTAACACAATTAATTTGTAAAAGTGTATAGGGTGAAGCAAATAGTCACACCAAAGTTTTAAATGTTCATTAAGTATCTGGTCAAATTTCATCTTACTGTGGTGAAAACTTTACCTGCTTTGCCTGAAAATATTGACATACCTAAGAGAGAGCAATCAGGTATCTAAAATGACTTAGTATCCAAATGAAGACTTTTTGGAAAAAATAGATTTGTTAATTAATTTAACACACTAGATTGTCTGTGGATCATCAGTGCTGTTGTTAGCAATTGGCAGTTTCATGCACAGGTAGATACAGATTATTTCAAAGTCACCAAAATGGAATCTGAAAGTAGTTTACAAGTATATACAGTGTTTTCACTACTGAATCCTGTGGAAATCATCGTGTAAGTCAGAAGAGCCCAGAAGACAATCTGGATTCCAGTTGGAATGTAGGATGGAAGGCTAATCTGCATTTTAAAGTCAGTTTAATTAAATTCATGAGCACAGATGAATGGACACACTTTTTTTTTTCTTTCCTTTTTTAATATATAAACAAGGCAGTATGGCAATACCAGTCCGAAAAGTAATTTGGAGCTGCACACATACAGCATGCTTACACATCTCTCATGCTTCAGGGAAAGAGGACCAAACACCATGGAGTAAATACATTCCTTGAGACATTTTGATGGGTTTTTTTTTCGAATCTTTTTTTTTTTTTTTTGCTGCAATATTGCAGAAAACAGTTTGAGATATCAAGATTTATTTTCACGTCTCCTACACAAAGTTCCTATCAGAAAACAGCATTAGCAGGATGTTCTCAAAGAGCCAAATGGGCTGCCAATTTGAGACAGCAGGAAGGCCATATTCTCTGTTATCTTATGTATTATTATGAGCCATTTCATAAAAATGAAAAGTTGGTTGTCCAGTTTATTCTGTATTATCTTCCCATCTTTCTGTCTTCTTCCAGCTTTGCAAAGCTTCTTACATAGTTCTCATCCTTTTTTAAAGACTTGTGTGAAGAAAACTATACACACACTCACTGTTGTGCTGAAAAAATTATGAAAAAATGTTTGTGGTTGAAGGCCAATTCAGACAATTGACCTATTACACTAAATATTAATTTTAAATTGTTGCACACAACCGAAACATTTGGAATGAACAAATGCTATCCAAATATTAATTAGTTATCAAACTATTTTTCTGCCCTGCTACACTGTAAACTCAAAAAGTGTAAGTTATAGAGCCAAATGTGTGTAGAGTGTTAGACAAAAGCAATGGGCCATATTCAGACTGACAAAACTCAGCCAGATTGTTGTGTATGACTCAGTAAGGTTTTACTGTCTAATACTTGAAATACATAATTTAATAATGCTACTCTATTCATTGTTTTACAGATCTTCCTTTGCAGAGGTGAAATTGATCTTTTCTCTGTGGGGACCACATTACCATAGATCTGAGTTACTGGGAAACAAAGCTAAGCTTTTGTTAAAGAAAACTATAATGGAGGAATGCATGTTAATGATTTAGAAATGTAAGGGTTCTGCTAATCTAAATTACAGCCTATTTGCTATCCAAACCTGATGTCATTTACATGAGAAGCTGTATCTTGAGCTACCTAATTTAATCCACTTTTTTGCAATTCTGGATTTACCTGTAATAGATATTTTGTTGGAGTCACGGCTGGCCACAAGGCTGGAGGCTTAATAGTATTGTATACTGTGTCCTTATTACCCTATTTTGTTCACAATGTATTCTTGACTCTGGGACTGAAAATGTTTATTAACCCAGTTAAGTTAACCCCTGCATACTGAATAACCCAGTTAAGAAACCTTTATCTCTTTTCTGGGGTGCTATAGTGAAGGTCTAGCACAAACAAGCAACTCTTCAAAGCAGTTATTAAGTTATTCAAGCACAGTTTCATTTATCTGAGATTGAATCTATGCAAACAACAATTTTCAAACAGTTCCTAATGGCATGGAAGTTCACAAGGTACTACATAATATGTAATCATTCTTGCCTTAAAATCGATTTATCTCAATGTTGTTTTCTATAAATATTGCTTAATCTAATGGAACTTCTAGAGCTCTACTAGAACAAATTAATTACCTCTTGAATTTTTTCCAGTATCTAGCATAATACAAACCATTAGGTATAGTTGCTAAAATAGATAATTTTCTGCACAGCTCTTCTTTCTGAAGATTTTTGGAGAAACAGAACTTACCTTTATGAAACAAATAATTTTATTCTCCCATGGGGCCTTGTTATGCTAAGAAAAGTAATTTTGATAATAAAAGCTTCTATTAGGAAACAGATTTTCAGTAACTTTGAAATATGTGAATCAAATTTGCTCTGTAAGGACTTGATTCACAAAAAAATTTACACAATTGGTAAAATATGCATGATTAGGACCAATTTTAACAAGGTTATAGTTCCATTATGCCAAGAAACATTAATATTTAAATGCTCCTGAGCCTGAAGAATATTTTTTCATTTAATTATTTTCATTTATTTTTTACATGACTGTGAAATACAGTATTAAAGGATCAAGAACACACTTGTGTTTCTGCACCTGTTAGATGCAGTTAAAAGCATCTTGATACCTTTTTTCTGTATTCTGCCCCATCTCTGTGAGTCCCTTGACCATGCTGTTTGTGCTCTCACAATTCACAATGAGTTTTCAGTCAATTTTATCCTCTCACTTAAGATGTGGAGAATATAATTATAAAATGTACATCATATCTGAGAAATCATGGCAGTCAGGTGAAGTTCCCGATGAGTGGAAAAAGGGAAATGTAATCCCCCATTTTCAAGAAAGGGAAAATGGATGACCCAGGGAATTACAGACCAGTCAGTCTCACCTCTGTGCCTGGCAAAATCTTGGAGCAGATTCTCCTGGAAGGCACGCTAAGGCACATGAAAATCAACAAGGTGCTTGGTGACAGCCAGCATGGCTTCACCAAGGGGACATCCTGCCTGACCAATCTGGTGGCCTTCTATGATGGAACTATGGAACTGATGGACAGCAGTAGAGCAGCTGATGTCATCTACCTGGACTCGTGTAAAGTGTTCAACACTGTCCCACACGACATCCTTGTCTCTAAATTGGAGAGACATCAATTTGATGAATGGACCACTTGGTGGATAAAGAACTGGATGGATGGCCGCACACAAAGAGTTGTGGTCAAAGGCTCAATGTCCAGCTGGAGACCAGTAATGAGTGGTGTCCTTCAGGGATCGGTGTTGGGACCAGTCTTGTTTAACATCTTCATTGCTGACATGGACAGTGGGATTGAGTGTGCCCTTAGCAAGTTTGCCGATGACACCAAGCTGTGTGGTTCGGTTGATATGCTGGAGGGAAGGAATGCCATCCAGAGGGACCTTGACACGCTTGTGAGGTGGGCTGATGAAGTTTAACCATGCCAAGTGCAAGGTCCTACACCTGGGTCAGAGCAATCCCAGGCACAGCTACAGGTTGGGCAGGGAAGAGATTCAAAGCAGCCCTGTGGAGAAGGACTTGGGGGTGCTGTTCAATGAGAAAATGAGCATGAGCCAGCTGCGGTGTTCTCTTGCAGCCCAGAAAGCCAACCATATCCTGGGCTGCATCAAAAGGAGCGTGACCAGCAGGTCGAAGGAGGTGATCCTGCCCCTCTACTCTGCTCTCATGAGACCTCACCTGAAGTATTGTGTGTAGTACTGGTGTCCTAAACATAGAAAGAACATGGAACTGTTGGAACAAGTCCAGAGAAGGGCCACGAGGATGGTCAGGGGACTGGAGCACCTCCCATATGAAGACAGGCTGAGAAACCTGGGGCTGTTCAGCCTGGAGAAGGGAAGGCTGCGTGGAGACCTCATAGCAGCCTTCCAGTATCTGAAGGGGGCCTATAGGGATGCTGGGGAGGGACTCTTCATTAGGGACTGGAGTGATAGGACAAGGGGTAATGGGTTAAAACTTAAACAGGGGAAGTTTAGATTAGATATAAGGATGAAGTTCTTTACTGTGAGGGTTGTAAGGCACTGGAATAGGTTGCCCAGGGAGGTTGTGAATTTTCCATCCCTGGTGGTGTTCAAGGCCAGGTTGGACAAAGCCTTGGGTGACATGGTTTAGTGTGAGGTGTTCCTGCCTAGGGCAAGCGGATTGGAACTAGATGGTCCTTTCCAACCTTAAATATTCTATGATTCTATGATTCTATTATACTTGCCTGTAATAAAATTTATATCTTTTTCATATGGGGAAACAGTGTCCAGCCATAAACTACATTTTGTTATATCCATCCCCAGCTTTTATTCGTATGTCAAAGTTCTACAGCTCCTGCAACCTGGGAAATGATCAAGAATTTACTAGTGTTAGCAATGCACTGAGTCAGTTTGAGATTTTCTAAGCATGTGTAAACCTAAGAAAAACAGCTAAACAGCTTTTCAACTCTCAAACTTAAATGCTTTAGTGAAGCTGAGCTCATTCATGAGCTGTTCTGGCAGTTCTGAGCAGCACATGTAATCTTTCTTTATGTAACTACACTCTTTTTCTCTATTCCCTAGAACTTTCTTAAAAATACTAGGCATACACAGTATTTTGTGTTATTTCTAAACAAAGTAAAATTCCATGATGCTTACAGTTAATTAAAGTAAAAGATGTAAGCAAGTACTTATTTTGTTGATTTCTAGGAGGCATAACTTCAATTAGCATATAGGTGAATCTTAAATCATAGTTCTGGCTTGTTTGTCACCCATGCTCAGCTCTCCTTTCAGATGTCTTCTTCATCTCACCCCTCTTTGTTCTCTATTTGTCTTTTAGTGATTTCAAAACTGCTGCTTCATTTACACTTAGAAGACAAACCTTTTCATGATACAGATTCCCATCTAAGCAATATTTCAATCACTAGCTAAAGATTAAAAATCAATGTCTCTATTTACTGAGGAAGATGCTTCAAGTCTAAAAAGAATTGACTTGTTTGGGGTTTTTTATAATTAATGTGATCAGCATCAATATTAATTTGCAGACATCTTCAGTCTGATGATACCTTTTTGCTGCTGTGGTCAAGACAAAATATGAAACATTGAACATGAACATAAAATGTTAAACATAAAACATCTCCTCACCTCTCTTTCAAAACCAATCTTAGAAAGGCAATATCCAGAAAAGTTCTTTAGAAGATACTTCATAGCAATCTGTAAAGCAATCTGCAGAGAAATCCCTTCAGTCTTTGATACTTCATAAGCAAGGATTGTAACAACAATCCTCAGGGGTTGAATGGGGACTTTAATTTCCTACTTAGTTTTCATTTGGCCCTTTGGGGTAAAATGAGACAATATTCAGAGCCTGCCTTCACTTTATTTTATTGTATGATGAACCATGTCTGCAAAGAAGGCAGCAGAGAACCTTCTTCTATCAAGAATACATAGGAATCCTGGAAGACAGAAGCAAGAGAGACAATTAGGCAATACCGAAGGACCACAGAGGCACTGCAGGGTGATAGACAAATCCAAGGACTAAAGCTTTGTGAGGATCCTGGGTAGGAACTAAGCTGAGAAGCTGTCTGTCAGTACATAAGATAGACCTTCTATAATGATTATGTACCGAGACCTTTAACTCAGAACTGTGCCACCAGAAAGGTAAGGAGTTTGCCTTCTGCTGGTCGTGGCAAAACACAACTATATTCCCTCTGATGAAGCCTGGGTATTTTATCTTAGTAGTGAGAGGCAGAGGCTAACGTGCAAACATACCCCCTTCTGTCATCACACACTACTGATTTCCACAGGCTACTTGTCTGATTAACAGCTGATGCCAGTTTCCAATCATCAGTATCAGAGAACTGTTATTTTTTTAAAATACCTTAATACTCTACACATAACCTAATAATTGCAAGAGAAAAAACTCCCTAATTGCAGTCTAAACTGGGGGACCAAGACAAAAAGAGAATCTTATACGCACTGGCCCATTACGTTCCCCTCAGTTTTTAAGGATTATTTATATGCCATTTGTATTACAGTCACATGTAAAGGGCCAGAACTTCCTGGTACCTCCGCTCTCCTGCAATATACTGAATCATACAATAAATGCCAGCCTTTTCTTTAAAAACTTTAAGGTAGGAAGTATCTGCTTGCAAGTATTGTACAGATCACACCATGCAAAACATTTTAAAATGAAAGTCTGAGAAACCAATGGGCTGTACCTCTCAAAGAGTGTGTATGTTATGCATCCTGTAAGGTTTAACCCTGTCTTGCTATGACGTAGATTTATGATTGCTTGGGATAGGCTAAATTCCCTTTAAGGATGCTGCCATGTATTTCTCATTAAAAAAAAAAAAAAAAGAAAAAATTGATTTTCTACATTTTAGCTCATTCTTGTATCCAAGAGGAAAAAAAAAAAGGATAGATAAGAAATCCACAAGAAGATGATGGAGAGGCTAGGATGTACAATATAAGAGGATCTGTACAAACACTAAACAGTTAATTCCCTTGCCTTATTTAGTAGTGTATATTTATCAGTGTTTTCACTGTGAGGGTGGTGAGGCACTGGAATGGGTTGCCCAGGGAAGTGTGAATGCTCCATCCCTGGCAGTGTTCAAGGCCTGGTTGGACCAAGCTTTGGGTGGTATGGTTTAGTGTGAGGTGTCCCTGCCCATGGCAGGAGGGTTAGAACTAGATGATCTTAAGGTCCTTTCCAACCCTTACTATTCTATGATCCTATGACCATCTGATGTATGTACACAGATGTACGAATATATCTTTTTCCTGTTTGTCTCTCATTATCAGTGATTTTCCCCAAACTGTATCTTCTTATACATCTGGTTTGTAGGCAGTACCTTGTCTTTTATCTTCATATAACCATTCTCCTCCTCAGTTCTCAGCACAGCAGCCTGTTTCTTCCTTTCAGCTTCCACACAGCAATAGTCCCCCCCCCATATCCTGCCCCCATGTTTTGCTATATAGATATGCAGTCCCTCAATTCTCAGCACATGCACTCATTTAACTTTTTTTAAACTTGGGAATCCATCTCTTTTGCTTAAGTTCTGCTGGGTTCTACTTGAGGGAAAAAATGTGCTGGGACTCCTTATGTGCCTAAGGGAGAGTAGCAAGTATTTTAGGCTATGTTGTCTTATAATAAGAAAATCAGATACATTATTTGTCTAGGGTATAATCATGTAAGTTTGCTCTACTTACAGTCTGGAAGACATACCGAACCTTACTGTTTTAAGTTGGGACACTGTGAAATATAAGCAGAACTGACCAGACTGGTTTTTTTTAAAGAGCTTTTAAAAATCTGTAATCACAATTTTCTTTTTATTTTACACATAGCCATGAAAGCATAGCATAGCAGATATGAGAGCACACATTTACACTGATAAAACCAGTAAGATTTTACACACATACCATCACACACAGTCATAATACTATAAAATGCAGCATATGTTTTAAAGGTCTATCTTTATCTTTTTTCCTCTTTTTGTTCAAGCAGCTTTGTTCTTGTTTTATCACTTCTCACCCAGAATCTTTGTGTCTTCTCTCTAGTTTGAGAATGAAACAGTATGAACACCACAAACTCTGCATGGAGTTCAGGAAAGTCACTATTACAACGTTGGTTCCTGCAGTTTTCATGGCTTCTTACACAGACAGAACCACAAAAAGGATGCTGAATCTAGGGCAATTCTTCCAGCTCTGCACTATACAGTACGTGGCAGTGGGGAAGCTGAAGGACTCACTATGTATGTCCAGCAACAATGAAGCAATCCCTATTTAATGAGAAAGAAGAAAAAGGCATTTTTTATCCCAGATGCTCAAGCATTCATCCTTCTATGGAGTTCAGCCTTTGTACAGGGACACTGCAGCTCCCTTGCAAAATACAGCTATCAACTTCTAACACAATTATTTTATCTCATGAGCCTGACAGAAGCACATATTCTGCTATAGTTACTTTTTTTTTTCACAGCTATTCACAGAACTGAAAATTAATTATTGTTCTCACTCTTTCTTTCTCTCTAATCCATCTTTGTCCTTAGATTCTATTTCCTTCTTGCTCCCTATTTCCTTTTGTTAGTGGAAAAGGGCGAAAACAGAAAACAGCAGTACCTGTGGGTATCTCCTGGGTTGAGATACCCACTGTTTGATGGACTGCTTCTGTACCCAGCATCAACAGGGGTTAGATAAAACATAGGACATCTGGAAACTACAGTCTAGCAGTTAGGTCTTTGAGTGAGTAGTCAGCAGAAAGGTTATGCTCCTGAATGCTGTCTGCCTGTACTCATAACATAAATTCAGCAAGACATAGTATATTGTTGATTATTCTGTAGTCCTGCTTTCATTCTGGAATATGAAGTAGCACAAGAAAATTTTCCTGCTATGGATGTCTGGGGAACATGCTGAGCTGCCCAAGAAACATGTAGGCATTGCATAAATAGATGTGCCTGGGAGGTGCTTGGTAAGAGAGAGGGTATTTTTTTGCATTGGTTTAGCTTTGTTTTCTGAGGATATGAAACTCAGAAAATTCAGTGAGGCTCAATTCAAAATTAGCTATTTTAAAGTATGGAGCAAGAA